AGGGATCCAAACAAACCTGATGAAGACAACCAAGCAAGACAGAAAGAGATTCAATTTCATCATCCCTAAGTCCTCTACGAAACCCAAAATCCCAAGTAGGATCTAAGGGTGTTCCCAAAGGTVAGACAAATTTTGAGACCACCTCTTTTTTGTACAAAGAAACAGAAAGTAGCAAAGGGAACGGATCCTTTAAAGGTGTGTCTCCTACCCAAAGAAATAGACAAATTTTGAGACCACCTCTTCTTTCTTCTTCTTCTTCTTCTTCATTTTCATTTTTGATCGCTGCTGCAACTCTTGACAATGGCAACAAGTGACTCCTCCAACGAACTAGCGGCGGTGACTCCTCCTCCGCAAGTGACTCCAAGCGAACCAGCGGCGGCAAGTGTCTTAAGCAAGTGACTCCTCTATTACAACTCTCACTGTTGCAACTTCCGTCCACTGTTTTTCATCTTCTTCTTCCTTAAGACATTATTTTTCTAATTATTAAATATTTTTTTATTGCTTTATGGATTTTATTACTATTTTCACTTTTCATTCAATTTTTTCTTATTTTAATAAATCATTTTTATTTTTATAATTTATTCATATTTTTCAATATTATTTTGAATTTAATAAATTATTTTTATGAAATAGTACACGTTGAACTCAAAATTACCAAATAGTCTAATTTATGGGTAAAATAGTAAAATTAGTGAGTTTCAGATGCTAAAGGTTTGATTCCATACAAACAACCTTCTTTATTCAGAGCCTCTAAAAAGTCAAAAAACAACTGTCTCTTTTCAGATTTTAGACACTTGATTTCTTTTTAACTTTTCAGATTTCAGATTTATCAAACACCACCATGGTTATTGGATATGATATATCAATATCATGTTCTAGATTTTGTAAACTGGGATTTTGGTTTCCGTAGAGGGTTATGTGATGATGAAAGTGCTTGTGTTTCAGAACTGTTGTCTTCACTCGAGTCTATTTGTTTAGATCCCCTCAAACTTGACACAAGAATTTGGACCCCTAACCCGAAAGGCTTTTTCACTTGCTCCTCTTTCTTTAAGTCCCTTTGCTCGACTTCTGCACCCCAGAACTTCCTAGTTAAAGAATTCTGGACTAGTCCCATTCCCCCAAAGATTGTTGTTTTTTGTTAGGAAGTTTATTATGGTAAGATTAATACCTTTGAAAATCTGCAAAAGAGAAGACCAAAGTGGTGCTTATCCCCTAATTAGTGTGTTCTTTGTAAATCTCAGAATGAGGACTGTCACCACTTACTGATCTCTTGCTCCTTTGCTACAACTTTATGAACCAATAGGAGTGGGGGACTCATTGAGAGAGGAGGTGATGGCCTTGCTTCAAGGTGTATAGATGTGCAAAACAATTGGGGTTACACCAAATCGAGATAGAGGGAGACTCTAAATTGTTGATTGAGTGGCTGCAATCTAGTAAGTTGGGAGCTTGAATTTATAGACAGCCCATAAGGGAAATCCTCAACATAACAAGGGAGATCGGTGCATGCTTCAAATGGACAAGGAGATCAGCTAATGGTTTAGCTAACACATTGGCTAAACAAGGGACCCTGAGGGAGAGAATGTCCTGGGCAGTTTTGTAAGAAAGATTACTGGGGGCTCAACACTTACTTAGGAGTTGACAGCTGTACTTAAATCTGGAAAGTTATTCTTAAGTTATATTAATGAAGTTACTGTTTCCAATAAAAAAAACTTTATGGAATTGGAGTTTTATGTTGTTTTGTGTGTAGGTGGAACCTACCATCTGATACTAGCTTGTTGTTTAGTTCGTCTATCTTTGAATGGCACATAAAGAGGGAGAATTATGTGGAAGTGCATAAGAGCAGCTTTGTTGTGGACAGTTTGGGAAGAAAGGAACACCTGTAATTATAAGCTAGCTAAAGCAGAATGGAAGGACTCCATGGGTGTTCAGAAATGAGATTAAGAAACTTAATCACATTACCAAGGACATGCAGTTATTATTTCAGTGGACTCCAAGAGCAGCAAATGGGTTTGCGGACCAGCTAGCGAAGCAAGGGGCTAATAGGGAACATTGTTTTTGGGCTTAGTTGTAGGGGTGGATTTGAGCTGAGCTGAGCTGAGCTGAATAGTACAAGGCTCGAGCTCGAGGGCTAATAGGGAACATTGTTTTTGGGCTCAGTTGTAGGGGTGGATTCGAGTTGAGTTGAGCCGAATAGTACGAGGCTCGAGCTCGACTCTCCAAGGTTGTACAAGGCTCGAGCTCGAGCTTGATTTGAGAAAAAAGGTTTTATAAAAATAAAAAATTATATATAAAAATATTTTTTTATTTGATATTTAAAAAATTAAGAATTATAATATTTTTATTATATATTATTTTCTATAATTTTATTATATATATATATTGAGCTCAGCTCGCGAGCCTCACGAGCCAAGCTCTATTAGGCTTGAGCTTGGTTAGAAGCTCGGTTGAAACCGAGTCGAGCTCAAGTAGCTTGTGAAGAGCTCGGCTCGTGGCCACCCCTACTTAGTTGTAAGGATATAAAGCAAAATCTTAGGTGGAATTTTAAAGGATAATGGGGTAGCCGAGGCTACTCAACTTCTGTACTAATTCTCATATCATTTTCTTAATAAAATCACCTTTTGCTGATAAAAAAAAGGAACACCAGAATTTTTTGTGAAAAAGAAAAGAGCTTCTCAGAAGTTAAAGAATGTATTCTGACAAGGGCAATTCAATGACTGAAAACTCTAAAGCTCTTCGGTGCACTCTTTTGATGACCTATGGAGAAGTTGGTTAGAAGTGGCTAATACTTCTACCAGGAAGGACAGACATGTGGTTGAATGAATGCCACCAGGGGAGGAGTTTATTAAGCTGAACTTTGATGGAAGTAGCCGAGGAAATCCAGGACCTTCAGGCATAGGAGTGCTGAGAAACAAAGACAATAGCACTATATCTTTGTACTCAGGTCCTGCGGGTGTGGGAGACTCTTTAAGGGCCGAATTAATTGCTGCTGTACAAGGAATCCAGCTTGCAAATCAGCTAGGCATAGAGCTTCTGATTATTGAAGGGGATTCCTAGGTGATAGTGGGTTAGCTAAAGGATCCGAACACCGTGATCTGGGGTTTTAGAGATCTTCTCAAAAAGGTTAAATGGCTGACAAGGAATAAGACAATCAGAGTTCAGTGGGTAGGCAGATCAGCAAACTCAGTGGCTGATTCACTTGCAAAACAAGGGGTTCTTCAGGCTACTTTATTTTGGGCTTCTGTGTAATTTCTTTTGTACTTATAATTCTATAACTAGTTTTAAAGGAAAGGTCGCATCTCGTGCCTTTCCATGGGTTGCATCAGTGTTAGCATCAGCATCCAACCATCTGCATCTATGCATTATATCCTTTGGAGAAGACATATGGCCTTTTTTAGTTTTTGGATTATTGATCAGGATCTTGACAACCTTTTAAAAGCAATCATTATGCTTTGGTAAGCCTCTTTGGTTTAATTGGTGTTTCAAAGGCACATCAACAAATAAAGGAGATTAGAGTTTTCTACTGTATATTTTATATGCATGTCATTGTTTAGGTGTATTTGACATGATTTTACCATCACAATTATCTGGATAATTTGCCATGGCAGTTTTACTTTTGATCAATTTCCTTCTACAACCAGTATAATCCTAGCAACTACTAATTCATTTTCAGTGTATTTGGTCCTTTGCATCGGAAAGTTATCCCTTTAGGCCATGTTTGTATTCAGGGGACTGGTGAAAAATTGAGGGTTCTAGAATAAGTACCAACTGCCACACCCCACAAATTCAGTATTCTGTTAAAACAACAGGGTTCCAGGATATCTGGAAAATAGGAGATTTGTTTTCCCTTTTCTGGCAATCTGGCCCCCATATTTGGAACATAGGAGATTTGTTCACTTAGTTGGCTGGAAAAAGTTTGTCAACCCAAAGAAAGTGGTGGGTTGGGAATAAGGAACTTGAAGTTCTTTAATAAGGCTCTGTTTGGGAAGTGGCATTGGACATATAATGAGGAGGTGGATAGCCTGTGAAGGGAAGTTATTCATGACAATATGATCAAAAGGGAGATAGCTGGGTTTCATGTGATGTTACCCTTACATATGGGTGTTCCCTGTGGAAAGGTATTAAAAGTGCCAAATCAGATTTTTTTTAAAGGAATTAGATATAAAATTGGGGATGGTACGAGGGTAAGGTTTTCGGATGACCTCTGGTATGAAGAAATTAGGCTGAAAGAGATCTACCTTGGGTTATTTGACTTAACTGTAAACAAGAAAGCTTTGGTGGCAGAGTTGTTGATGTTTCAAAATGGTACAGCAGTGTGGTCTCCTTTAAGAGGAGCTTAAATGACTGTGAGGTGGAGCAAATGGCTGATCTGTTATATAAACTTCACAGTTTTATCCCAAGCAGATCAGGGGAAGTTGACAAAAGAGAATGGAGATGGTGCAGGGATGGCAATTTTTCAGTTAGATCTTTTTATAGTAAGCCAGTGGGGAGGGGGGAAAGTAGTTTCCTTTGGGAAAGTGTTTGCTATACAGCTGCTCCAAGGAAGGTTGCTTTTCTTACGTGGACAGCCTCTCTGAACAAATGTCTGACTAGAGATAATTTACTGAAAGGGGTGTTCTAATTGATAGCACTAACTGCGTTTTCTGTAATGAGGAAGTGGAATCTGTTCATCACTTATTTTTGCATTGTTATTTTTCTATAAGGCTGTGGTCTAAAGTATTGGACATTTTTGGAAGACACTTTTGTTTTCCAAAATCTGTGGTTTTTAACTAGTTGGCAGTTGAAGGGTCTGAGCGGAAGAGGAAAATTAGTTTGGAAAGTGATTCCTGCAATCTTTTGGACTGTGTGAACGGAAAGAAATGGCAGAATCTTTCAAGATTTGGAAAAAAAAAACAGAAGGGACAATTGTAAAGGAATTATGAGGTAGAATACACTCTTGGGTTGTAGTGAACAAAATTTTTAAAGATATACCATACAGCTCTTTTTTGAATACCGTTTTGTTATTTTGTAATGATTGAGCAATACTTTTTGTACTGGTGGAGCTAGTTTTTGCACAGTTTTTTGCTGTATAGGTTTGGGCGGTGTATATTTTCTTTTTTTCAATACAATACATTACCTTTCTTCAAAGAAATATTTCTATCCAAAAACAGACGTCATTGTATTCTCACCACATGAAATTAAGTGAACATAGGATATTTGTTCTTCCATTTTTTTATAATCCACTTGTTCTTCCATTTTCATGTCACTAGTAATCATATGATGCTGCACCAGCCTACCAAAACCATTGGAAACCAACAGAAGAGCTCTTAATTATAGAAATCTCATAGTGCAAGGAGATTCAATGGTCGGATGGTTTAGGCACAACAGGAATGGAAGCTGGTGCTACCAACATATATTAAGAGAACTGAGATGGTTAGCAAGGGAGCTGAGAACCATGTCCACATGGATTCAGAGATCAGCAAATGGAATAGTGGATACATTAGCAAGACATGAGATAAACAGGGCTCAAATGTACAGGGGTTCTATCTAGAAGGAGAAACAGCAAGCAATGTAATTAATAAAATGAAATGATGGGAAGCTACCTAAAGTAGCATGAGGGCGCAAGCCATGACCATATTGTAAATTTCATTCATTTTACTGAAACTTGATAAATTCTTTGGATGTTACTCATAAAAAAACTGTAGTAGTGGAACTTATAACCCAAGCAATTCATTGTGAAGTTCTTACAAATTTCAAAATGAAACTAATTTTACAAAAATATAGAAAAGTATGATGATATGAATTTTCAAGGTACCTCGTCTCTTTTTTTCTTAAAAAAAAAAAAGAGGAAGTGTGGGGAGAAATGACAAGAAGATATTGGAACATAAATTTGGAAGAGATAATGGAAGCAAGAGTGCATTTTGGTCATGGTACTAGGAAATGGAATCCTAGAATGGCACCTTACATCTCTGCAAAGCGTAAAGGTATTCATATTAGAAATCTTACTAGAACTGCTCGTTTTTTATCAGAAGCTTGTGATTTAGTTTTTGATGCAGCAAGTAGGGGAAAACAATTCTTAATAGTTGGTACCAAAAATAAAGCAGCCGATTTAGTAGCATTGGCTGCAATATGGGCTCGGTGTCATTATGTTAATTAACAAATAGGTTGTTAATTAGCACTTGAAGCGGCTAAATGGTTCCTGTCATTGGGCTCCCATCTGCAAATTGTTTATGATAGGCTGATTAGTGAAAGTGGAATGTCTTGGCTAAGCTAGGCATTTTTTCACATTCATTGAATAATTGATTATTTCAAGGTGAGATTTGACATGTTTAACTTTCCAGGCTTTTGCTTTAGCATTCTTGCATTTTGCTCCTTACTTTTATAATGTTCATGCCTAAATAACTTTTTAAGAATTTTGTTTCATGCTATCATTCTAATGGAAACTTCATTATATGGTTTGGATAGCTCACAATCTCACCTAGAGCTGGTAGAGAACTTGGCTATGTGCGAGTGAAAATGGACCATGTGAAATTCAAGGAGGGAATGCTTAGGTATGAAATTGTTTCACATACCAGTTATTGCTTTCAAATAATAATATTTCTGTAATACAACTTTTCTGTCATTTTTGGAGATTCTTCCTAGTCATGAAGTCTAGTGAACAGAATCTCATTGTACAGAGGGGCTTTGTGTATACCTTATATTAATATAATTATACTAATAATATAGCTGTAATTAAAAAGTGAATGGCAAGCAAACTGCTCTTGAACAGATTTAGTGGTTAAGATTGGTGGGATTCCCTTGAGTGAATTTTGTTTGCACTTCTAGTGGATTTATCTAGGCAGCTTATGGGAAAGCATCTTAACAATCTCGTTTGTTCATTTCTCTTCCCTGATTTCCCATGCAGTCGGCAATCTCTCCTGGATCATATTACTGTTCAACTAGCACCACGTGCAGCTGATGAGATTTGGTATGGTGAGGATCAGGTAAGACAACCATTTATTATTGGTCTATAATAATGATGCTAAATATGAGCAAAGAGGCTTTTCTGAAGATGTTTTGCAGATTGAGGTGAATGTTTAAGTGATAATGCGTTTGTGTTTGAGTTCACTGCTTAACTTGATGATGCTCTGTGGAATGATTCTAAGGTGGCAGTCTTGTTCCTTACTTCCCAAACTAGTGCTGTAAATGGATTTTGTTCTTGGAAGTTTTCTCATGGCAACACTTACGAACAAGTTTATTAATACAAGGGATCAGTTTCCAGTTCTACAGAAGTATGTAATGGAGGTGCCTTACTGCAAAAATATGGTAGCTTTGGTTTGTAGAATTAGTTGAGTGGAGCTGGAAATCCCAGCTAAACATGTGTTTCTGATGTTGATGAACCACACCACCTATCTAGATCTTCATGAACTGGCACAACAATTTTGTGCTTTACTTGTAAGGTGCATTGAGGATGAAGGTGGATGGATGCTTCATTTACGAACCTTGGTCTTTTTTTCTACTTTCTGCAGCATGTAAAATAGATGACCAGTAACTTCTAAAGGGATATATATTTACAAAATCCATGTTCTTTCATATTATAGTGTACATGAAATTCTATAAGCCTTTAAAAAACCTTGGCAAATGTAACTGTTGGAAGAGATGAGCCGTTTGCAGTGCACGGGTTCCTTTTTCCTTTCTTTTTTCTAGTGTTTGGTCTGCCTGGTTTTAGATGAATTAGTGCCCAACTTATGTGTTTCATTCTAGATAGTAGCTGCTTTCTATGTTTGTTTTATATATTATTTGCTTGTTATTGTTTTCTTTAGTCCTAGTGCTATCATTTGAAAGGAAGATTTCTAATCTGTTGAAAAATTTTCAGTTGAGCACAATTTGGGCAGAAACAGCAGATAATGCTAGATCAGCTGCACGAGCCTTTGTCCTTGGTGGCCTTTCTGAGAGAAATTATGGGTTGTCTGACTTTTGGGTTGCAGATAAACTTAACGTATCCTCCACCATGCCATTCTTTTGGTTTGTTTTCCTCTGTTATTATGTGAGGTGGAAATGATTATCAGCATGACAATTGACTTTTGTTCTTCTTCTTTAGGATATTGATTTAGAGGCCTTGCGCATTCTTAACATGTGTTATCAATGTGCTAAAGAGGTAACCTTAATTAAGTTGAGGAAGCATTTGTGAAGCACCATTTTTAGATCTTTTCTTGCGAGTACAGCCATATGAGATGTCATGTGTATGTTTCAGATCCTACATCGAAATCAAAAACTCATGGATGCTGTGGTTGGTGAACTCATTCAGAAGAAAAGTCTCACCAAGCAGGAATTCTTTCGCCTAGTTGAGGTACATGGTTTCCTTGAACCAATGCCACCCAACATAGTTGATATCAGGGTGTCCAAGCGCATGCAGTTCCAAGAAATGATGGTGGACAAGAAGGAAACAGTTAAAGAGAGCACTCTATGAAGTGGATGACTAGTCTATTCCATCTTCTCCTGTTTTTGAGGGTAATTATTTATATCTTCTACATTTGGGTTTTATCTAATTAGATACCATGGCATCTTGATATTCAAGTGTTAATTTTTGTATGTGAATATATCTAGAAGTTTTCCCCTGGAAATTTAGGCTATGCTCAATTAAGATTCTGCTCCAAAGAATCGCTATTTGAAGAATGAGTTCAAGCAAAATTGATTCTTTTTTGAAGCTAAAATCAATTTTTATTGCAAAAGGAATGATTTGTCATGGAAATTGCAAATTTGGAGGTCGGGATCTTTAGAATGTAGTTAATTGGGCATTTCTAAACTCGTGCACAATTGCCAATGGAGATCATCTTTGTTTCATAAAAGATAATTTTCATGGATTTGTGATGATATTGTGTTTTACCTAGTGCAAATATTTTGAGAAATTGCTTTGCAACTTATTAAGTTCCCAACTGTTTTTTGCTAGTTAATCCTTGAGCATGTCAATATTATGTTAGTTATAGTTATTGAGCATCCAGGCAGCGCTTCCTTAAGTGGACTTCATATCCAGTTTTTGCTGATCCAATCAATTAGGTGTACGTGGCTTGGCAAAAAATCATTGTGCCTGTGAAGCTTACTCTTTCCGAGAAAGATGTTCTTTTTCTATTATGGTAAAATCTCAGGCCAACTAGTGTGAAAATGCATGGTTGTGTGACTTGTGTCTGGGAGTGGTCATTTCATGCGGAAATGGTGGGGGTTAATGTCCATGTTCACTCCACCTCTTCCAAAACCTTGAACAGTTGTCCAGCGTCGTTTTGTCATCATAATTGCAGTTGCTTCATAATGCTAATTACTGTCTTATCATCAAAATTCCTTTTTCTTATTCCCAGGTTTAGTGGTCTGATGCGATACTGCCTTTGTCCTGAGAACTTATTGCAGCAGAGCACTCTCTTGAAAGATTGGCCCGCCCCCATTCTACCAATGCTAACTGGAAGAAGAGACTTCTGGGTCGGTAAAGTGAACTCAAATGCACCTTGCAAACGGTTGATAGATCTCCGTCGTCGGCTGAACTTGGAGACCAGAAGGTGCAATCTTGAAACAGCAAAGGATTTCACCTATTTGGAAGTCGAATGTTTGTATACTTAGTTTGTCTTCCGTTATTCCAGAAAGTGTTCTTATTCCCTTTTGTATATTATCATTTATCCATAAAGTAAATAGATTTCCCCGGTGCTTTCATCATATTCACAGGGGAGTGTCAATTGTGCCAAATGGTTTATGTGGCTGTTTAATTTATTTTTAGATTTTTAGATTCTGTTACTATTAATTAAGTAAAAAAAATATTAGACCTACAATTTAGGTGCAGGTACAATCAATGATCAAAATATCGGTGTCGAGTATTGTATCGGACAATTTGAATATGGATACAGATATGCTTTGGAAACACATGGATACAGACGAAAAAAATGAAAATGCTTAGATACGTTGGGGAAATAAATACATACAAATTCCATAAATATATTAATAACATTAAATTTAAAATCAAATAGTCACAAATAGGATACATAAATATCACATAATTTTATTGATTTTGCATTAATAAGAGTTCAAGACACATAACATATGCATATATTATATTTTAATTATTATATCAATTATTTTATATTTTACTATTTTTAATTTTTTACATTAACAAAAAAGTCAATTAAATATTAAATTATCAAATGTAAACTAAAATATCAATTAATAATTTAAAAAATATATAATTTCAATTTAAAATATATCAAATCTATTAAAATTTCTAATATAGTTTTTAATTACTAATATAATTATTACATTATTGATAGTTTTGTTTCTATAGTTTTTTTTTCTAAAATTAAAAACCATTTTTGGTATAAATGTTGATTAGTAGGGTTGATAGATTCTATTAAATATTATACTCACAAATATTTTCTAAACATTTTTTATTTTTGTAATTATTTAATATGTTGTTACTTAATGTAATATACATTAAAATATTAATTAATTAATAATTTAATATATATTAATTTTAAGTATTAAAATAATTATTTTATTATTAATATTTTATTTACATAAATTTCTTGAGTTTAAAATCATCTTTTGATTTTAATGTAAATTTGATAGATTATTTATTCCATTGGTTTATAAAATATCAATTTTGAATATTGTTCTTTATAGTTTTTAGTTAAAATTGTTGAACAAAAATATATTATTTATTTGAATTACATGTACTGTGTAGGTGTTATATGTAATAAAAGTTATTTTATTTCAAATATTTACACAAGTATTAAGTTGCCTTAATGATTTATGAGTTGCCTTGGGATAAAGGTGTGTACCATGTTGGGAGACATAGGTTCGAGTAGTGTGTTTGTCTTTACTTTGTAATAAATAAGTTCGTGCGTATTGGTCCGTATCACATGGTAAGGCGATACGTGCTCGTAGGGTTTTCGGGTCAATGGTAACGGTTTGGGTAGTTTGACCTTTAGATTAGAAATTTATTATATTAGGGTTTTATATCTCTTCTTTTATGAGAAAAGAGAGAGCTAGAGCTAGGTGGTTGTTGGCTGAGAAAATAAGAAAGAAAGGAAAAAGAGGAAAGGAAGGAGGGAAGGAAAAAAGAAAGGAAGAAGAAGAAGAAAAAGAAGGTGATGTTCACTTCTAATGATGATGGTGATGGCAATGGCAATGGCGATGGCATCCTCTTTCTTTGATTTCAAATCAGAGTTTTTTTTTGGACAAAAGAGGACTTCATTAAACAGAAAAACAAACAAAACAATAGAGACAATAATACAAAGAAGAGACAACAAAAGAAAAAAAAAGCAGAGAAAAAGAAACACAAAAACACATCACCCACAGTTCAACAACCTAGAACTACTAGGAGTAGCATAAAAAGCAACAATGTCTTTTAACATAGGACCTGCCATCCATCTTGGGCAAGCATCTTTCCAACAAAAATTGTAAACTAGACCCATCTTGGCTACTGCATGAGCCAACACATTAGCTTCACGGGCAGTCCAACAGAAAAAAAAAGGGATTTCCTAGCGCTAAGGGCTTTAATGTCTTTGCAAAGGAACAAAACATCTTGGTGGGGAGTGGCATCCTCCTCAACAAAGAACTAATAAGCTGTCTCGAGTTTACTTCAAAGATAACCTTATCCATCCTTGGTTCACAGCAAAAGATACCGCTTGGAGCATGGCCTTTGTTTTGGCAATCAATGCTGAATTAGCAGTACAGGAACCTGAAACAACAACCTTGCTCGTCTTTGATCACAAAACCAAAAGAAGTTACTCCATTTGAACTAAAGCCACTATCTGAATTTGATGAAACCTGAGTTTGGTGGCAACCAAAAACAACTTTTCCTAGACTTTTTTTCTAGGAAGCAAAGAGCTTCCTAATTTTTGATCAGAAATGTCTCCACTATGGTTCTGTAAATTAAGGAAATCACAACAACATGGTTAGTATTCTCATTTTCAAAAATAAAAGTATTCATGTCCTTCTAAATCTCCCACAGAGTTATAGCTATTTGAACCATTAGGCTATTGTTTAAATTAACAATGTCCTTTATGATTTGGGAGAACCAACTCCCAAAGTTTGAGGGGATAGAATCTTTTGAATGTTTGACTCCACAACCTACTCCAAGCCAGATACATCTAGCTTTGTCACACAAGAGCAGTACATGGACAATGGATTTTTCCTCTTGATTATATCTCAGGCAAATTGTTGAGTCAAGAATTTTCCTATTGGCTAAGTTCTTCCTAATTGGGATGCCATTATAGCAGCATTTCCAAAGAAAATTCAGGATTTTAGGTTCCATAGGGATTTTTCACAAAAGAGTTCCACAAATCTTTATCCCTTACATATTCATCCCTTACATATTCATCCCTTTCTAGATCATCAGAACCCAAACTTTGACTAGCTACACAGTAGGCTAACCTTACTACGAATCTCCCTTTTGGATCATGAACCTATATCAGTTCATACACCCACATGTTTGTTACTAGATCAATACTCATAATTTTTTCCTCTTCTGTTGGAGTAAAAAACCTCCCAATCTTCTCTACATCCCACCATCTTTCTTCTTGGTTTATAAACTCCCTCACTCGTAGGTTACTTTGTATTGGCCTAGGACCCATTGGCTTAAAACCTTCGAGGCTTAGAATCGAAGGGTCCTTCCAAACATCAACCCTTTCCCCTATATTGACTTTCCACATAATTCCTTTTTATAGCAATTTTCTTCCCTTCATAATGCTTCAAGAAAATGGCATCTAGGGAAATATTTTGCTTTTAGAAGGCGATCCCATAAATTGCTTGTATCCACACTTAGCTTCTAAGTTCATTTTTCCAATAAGGCAACATTGAAGAGGTGGGGATCCTTGAATCCCATCCCCCCACTAAGCTTTGACTTACAAATTTGGGTCCAAGGTACCCATCTTATTTTCTTTCTTCCATCATAGTCCCCCCACCACAACTTTCTTTCACACTTTACAATCTCCTCATAGAGTTTGTTGGGTATCAAGAAACAAGACATGCAATGGTTTGGCATAGCAGTGAGAACTGCTTTTATGAGAACATCCTTTCCTGCTTGAGACAATAAGGTCCCCCTCCAACTCTTGGCCTTATTTTCAATTCTCTTAGCGAGGTAATTGAACAAATGGATTTTTTTCCTCCCTATATTAGGGTAGGTTCCCAAATATAAGGAGGGGCTATATACCTTTTTGAATCTAAGAGAGTTAGCCAAAATCTTTTGACGTATAGGGTGCATTTTCTTACTAAAAAAGATTTCAAACTTTTCAAAGTTCACTTGTTGTGCCGATGCATTTCCATAGATTTCCAAAGCCTCTAGCATCTTATTTCCTTCACTAACATAGATTTCCAAAGATTTCAAACTTTTCAAAGTTCACCTGTGTCCCGACCCCTTTGAGGTCAAACTTCTTTTCAGGGAGTACCATTTACCAAGATTTGGTAAGATATAGATTTAACACATAACATAACCCAATTGACCCATTTGTCTCCAAACCCCAACTTTTGCAAGGTTCTTTGAAGGAAGTCCCCCATTTTACCTTGTCTAGGCTTTGTTCATGTCCATTTTTACAGCCACGAATCCATTTTTTGCCTTAGTTTTGTTCATGTAATGCATAACGTCATGGGCTATGATGATATTGCCAGTAATGGATCTTTCAGGAATGAAGGCACTTTGATTTAAGGAGAGATGACTTTGTTGAGTAGAGGTTTGAGCCTATTTTCCATGATTTTTAAAATAATTTTGTAAACTATACTACACAAGCTAATAGGCCTAAACTGGGTAGCCCTCTTAGGGTTCTTCACTTTCGGGATCAAGGTTATAAAGGTGGAGTTGAGGCCTCTGCTATGGATTCCATTTGAGAAAAACTTTTTAACTTCTCTTGTAACCCCTTCCCTTACTATCTCCCAAAACTTTTGAAAGAAAAAGTTAGGAAAGCCATCTAGACCTAGAGCTTTTTTCGAGGCCATCTGGAACAAGGCTTCCTTTATTTCCTCTTTTGTGACATCTTTTTGGAATTCTTCATTATCTTCCTTAGATAATTTCCCTTCCAAGAAGTCCATGACTGAATCTATGTTTGAAGGATTTGAGGAAGAAAAAATTTCTTGAAAGTGCTCTACTAAGACATTACTAACTTGGTCCTCCCAGTTGAAGTTTAAGGCTCTCAATTTGATCATGTACCTTCCTAAATTCCTCTTTGATCCACTCCCTAAGGTCTCTTGTCAGAATTGAGCACTTCCTGGAGATCCAAATCTAATCTGAGCTTTTCCCCCAGCTTTCCTTAATCATGTCCCCACATTTTTTATGTAACAACCAAATTTCTTCAAATCTGAAAGGTTTCTTTAGTTTTTTTCCCATGGGTTTTGTATTTAGGCAAATTTGGGAGGTGATTCAAACCATTGAGATCTCGTTTTTCTCTTTCTCTGATCTTAGATCTCACATCTCTCTTTCTCTCTAATCTCTCCCTAGTTCCTCTCTTAGATCTTAGTGACCTCAGACCTGAGGTCGTGTCTTAGTCCCTCTCTCATTTCTCAATCTCTTTTTTCTTCTCTGTTAATAATCTTAAAAATAATTAAATAACTTTTTATTAAACCACAAACCGCTATCCGAGTTGAACAATTTAGCGGTTTGATTGTTCGAGTCAATAGTTCTCTGACCAATTCAACGTTTTTTTTTTTCAAAAAAAAAAAGGTCCAATGTAAAAATGAACTTGGGTACACAACCGATTCCT